TACTTTTCCTGTTCGCCGTGAAGGATATTCCGCACCTGCGATTTGACGCCGTCGCAACCAACGACGGCGTCGAACATTTCCGAGGTACCATCCGCGAAAAGAACCTTGACACGTTTCCCATCGTCCTGTACATCCACACATCTTTTGTTGAAATTGACCAGGCCACCTCGGAACCCACCAGGCAGGAGGTTCACCATAGCGTCCAAGAATACTGCCCGATGGACATTGCGGAATTTGTTCTCATTGTGGATGGTACATATTCCTTCAAAGGCCTTGTCCGTGTTGGCTCCTCCTCTTCCGTCCATGCCCATATAAACATTGGCAAATACCGACATCTCTCGGCCGTTGACAGTTATTGAGGGTGCTTTGTCCGCGATTCGGCTGTAGGAGTCGTAGATTCTGGGATCGATCGCGTGCATGGCTCGCACCGCGTTGGGGAGAAAGCCAACACCAGCGCCAATCTCGGAGAAGGCATGGGCGGCTTCGAATAGATGTGGTTCGAGGACGTGTCGATCACAATGTCTCAAGATCCCTAATAGAAGACTTAGTCCGCCGATACCTCCACCAATGATTGCTATCCGCAGAGGGCTTTTGCCATCTTCAGCGTCTCCCATGACGAGCTAGGTATAGATTTCAATTGAGGAGCCGAAAGAAAACTGTATCAAGAAGTGTCCTGCATTCCAACGCATTGGCGACTGACGATTACGGCCTTTTGTACCCATGCTCTCCAGAGCACTTGCAAATGTCACTCTTGCAAGTCTTCTGCTCGGATGAGGCATAAAGTTGTCGCATCTCGGTCAGAGCGCACTAAAAGTGTCAAGAAAATCTATCGCACTGGTAAGCTCGTATTGAAGTAAAAGCTGACACGAACGGGATCGAGAGTTTCAGTTGGGGATCTTCATATGGGCAGACTGCAAACGCCCTCGACACCTGGCTCGCTGGGTAGTCCAAGCCTTCGTCGAGACCACATCATTGTGGGTGTGGCAACCCATCTCCAAGCTTCGTGATATGCGTCATTAAAATATTACACGTAGACTCAGGAGTCAGCATCAAGAATCGTTTATGGTGGAGATGGAGTGAGCAGCGAAGACTTGTGCGCGGCCGCGTCGATATGTTACCGCATTGGGTTTAACGCATTTATCTCGGCAAAGATGCCAGATGCGTGGGTGAGGCTCTAATCGGGATAACTCGTTTGCGTGCGAATCTCACCCCTCTTGTCATCAACACCAGAGATGAGGTGACATTCTTGTCACTTTCTAGATCGGCTAGTCATCGCTTGGGAATACTCATATCTCTTACAGTGATAGAAGAATCTCTTCGCGACTCTCGCCTCAAAAATTTCCTGGCCCCCAAAAATGGGGAGGCATCGAAGAGCTGCGTAGCCGCTGACCCTTTTCTAGCCGCCCACCAAGATATACACCATTCGACTCAGCAAATGAGGCTCCAGCGTCAGGCGACCTTCTCCTGTCCCTGTTTATCTCATTTCTCCTGGCTATAAGCTGCTTAGAAAGCCCTCTATACAATGAGAGGCTGCCTACGCGCCCTGTGACCTTCAAGACCATGGCCACGTCTTCATGCCCCTGTGGAATGCTCTAGTATCCCGCGTCTCCATGGACATTGGCGAGACGGGAATGGTGTGGTATCCTTCCAGATATATTGTTCAAGCAAGCGGCGAGGTGTCAGTGGCACTGACTAACTGTTAGCACTGTTTGAGAACGATACCTGCTCTTCCAATTTTGCTCCTGCATAGGCGCCTACATGTTGTCACAGACGGAAGCGCCCTCCACGTGGTACTGACATATTACCTTGCAGGATTCCCCAGAAATGTTCTCATCATCCTTCAGGTCGACCGTGCACCGTATCCCCAGAATAGGCCTGCCAGTCAAGGACAGACTTGTTGACCTTTCACCTGGGCCTGTCACTAAGACTGTCGTTGTCAATCTTTCTCCTCAGTCATGGAGACCTCAAGCCCATTGCCAGACACGCCAGTGTCCCTGCTGAGAGCTATTGACGGTAGTCACCTTAGATGGTCCGACTTTCGAACGATTGTCCTCAGTGCATTTCGGATCATCTTCACCGACAATCTCCAGTTGTCCGAGTTGTCACGGCCCTTCTCTGACAGGTTGAGGCCTTGCCTGCAGAAGCTTGACCGGTTCGACAATCAAGAGATAGAATGGCGGGAACAGGTCACAAGTAACAAGGGATTTGGATCGTCAATGGTGTTCCCTCCCAACATCCTCCCCACGACGGGTGTCAACCTCAACCTCCATCGATCTCTGGCCCCAAAGCTCAATCGAGAGGCACTTCCACCGCGAGCCGTCAAGGCTCAAGAGAGTCTTTTCGAGCTGCCTGTCCCTCGACCTGGCCTCCTTACTGGGTTCACGACACAGGCATTCAATGAGAGAGAATTGTCGGTTCTGCCTCATTGCACATCAGCAACGGGGACGATTGTCGATTTTGACTCGGGCACCGTGTCTCCAGGAACAAACACCTACTGCCCTTTCCTTGTCTTTGAGCGACTGAACACCACGTCGGAGGATGCTGTCCAGTCTGCCAAAAACCAATGTGCAATCGCCGGAGCCCACTGTGTCAGGGCCTTGCAGCTTTTGTTCAGAAAATGCACTAAGCCTCGTCCGGTCTTTGAAAAACCAATATCATTCTCATGTGCCCTCGACAATTCCATCGCTCTTGTCTACTACCACTACGTTGATGCTGATGGACGCTACTGTATGTCGGAACTCTCAAGGTTCAATCTTCACGACACGAGTGCTTTCAAGGAATTCCAGGCATGGATCGAAGCGATTGAGGATTGGGGATCGACATACCTTCTACCCGTCATTAAAATTGCACTGAGACAACTCCTCAAGAGCCATGGGACCCCGCCAATATCACCTATGCCATCACTCACGCTGTCAATTGACACGGCCGCGGGAAGTGATGAGGTCTTGATGAAGGTCCTCCGCTCCACATTTGGCACCATCAAATGGAAATGTGAAGGGGAGTGCGAAACCCCGCTGAACAGTAGTATCGCTCACTGTGGCACGCCACTCGGCGCCCGCAAAATAAGGACCCTGGCTCTGTCGCCCACCTCACCGGTTGATATAATGAGCGTGGTGTCGGGGCCCACCACGCCACTTTCCGTGTGGCGTATGAGGCCAGACTGGTCCACCAGATCCCCTACTGCCCGAAGGCATCCTTTGTCGCCCTTGAGACTGCGATCTGATATCCCCGACTCTCCATGTCGACGCGCCAGTCTCTCTCCATGCACCCCTCCGCCAGAAGCCCCCAATTCGGCGAAATCCCCTATGCTGGTACTGCAGAAGAGGGTAGATCTGGCTATGGATGAAATCCAAGAACTGAGGGCTCTGGTGCAGATCCTACAGGGGGAACTCGAGTCGACGAACAATCAGCTCGAGTTGGGCAGGAAGACGGCCGACATCACGACACCCGAAGCATGTGAAGACGTTCCAGGCCGTCCGACAACTGGGCATTCAACCAATTTGAGAGATTACCTTGTCCAGAGCTTTTCTCCGCTCTCCCACCTACCGTTGACCCATGTTACTCAGAACCTCCTGGCCTCTGGCCTGTTATTGCCTTGGGTCCTGTGCTTGTTCTTACTTGTCTCGGTTCTTTTATCCGATGACCTGATGGTGGCTGCGTTTTATCTAGCGCAGTTACCAGGAAGCGTGTTTGTCTGACATGGTGTGGACGGGCTGGAGGGAGCATGCAGATTAGATTGAACGATCTACAAATCTATCGATTCGTCAAGGCGGATCGTGTACTTGTACTCTGATGTGTTGTATCTGGTGTGGATATACGGTTGGGGGGTTAAGGGGCCATTGGAAAGGAAGTCGGCCCTGGAGCATGTGGCTTGACCAGTGGAAGTGGTTCGTCCTCATAACCACGCGTTTCGCGTTCCAGTAGATACGAGTATCGATGGCCCCTTTGAATATGACGATCCTCCCCAGCTTCTGTTCGATCTATCTCCATAGGGTTCGTCGCAGATCTATGAGGATGATCGCCTCGGGCGTGTGGTTCCCGAGGGCTTGTGGCGCCGTCCCCAGAGTTGAATCTGCCATCGTGCTCTGTGTGGATACGCTGATTGGCGTGCTCGACGAGGCGCCACTATGTTAGATAACCGTGTCGTGATTGTATGATTGGCGCACATGGGATGGAGGCACAAATCTTTCGGGTGAACAGACCTTACAAACACGAGCGCCAGTGGCTTGGCTCCCTCTGATCTCGGCAAAAGATTTGAAGAGCATTCAAGATCTAAGCAGAAGGCTGAGTTAGTTGGAGGGTGGTCAACTTTGTTTACGAAAGGACCTGTCGGTAGTGGCCTCCACAAAGTAAACAAGCACACAAAAGATCGTCGGGATCTACCGGATAAGATGAAGCGCTAAAGGCGTGAGGCAGAGGGCACACACCACCCAGCGCCACAATTATGCTGAATCGGACAGGCCTAGCCGGCGCCTTACCGTCTTTGTGCAACCAGACTAACTATTTATGGCATAAGCATGGCTGTACCGTCCCCGCGTCCCCTGAATAAGGCTTGGCTTGGCTCTTCGCCAAATTTCCCTTTTAAGAACCTGTTCGCGTCTCCCCAACCTTGAAAATGGCCGGGACCGTTCGAGAAGCATAAACACACCTATCACTACAGGCTGGAAAGGCAGTTTAACGTTAGCCACTAACATCCAGTCCATCTTTACGATGTTGATATCGGGATCGAAAATTGCATGCAAGGTGATTGAGGCTTTGTGCCGAAATTCCACCAACTGAGACTTTGGAGACAGGAATCTCCTGGCCCGCGATGGTAGGTATACCTCCTAACTGGGTGAGTCTGACCTTTCTATATATCTTGATGCCAATGTCGCTCCTCAGTTCTCTTCATTCATCATCTTCCACACACACTCTCTCTCCCCTTCCGTGTGACATTTCTTTGGCACCAAGTGCCGTCCATTCCTTTTTTCGTGATTTCTAGTCACTCCTTTACCGCAAACATGTTGACTTCAACTCTTCTTCTCGCCTCTCTTGGCGTTGCCGCTGCGTTCAAGAACACTCCCGATGTGACGGTCAGGGTGACATCTACTCGGACCATCGCCTTCTGCGCCTACCCTACCGGCTTCGGTCCCTGTGATGGGGCCAGTCAAGCCTGGGAGGCTGTGAGCGAACCTACCAAACCGGCTGCCAAAGGTTGGTTCGGCGGGTTTGGAGGGCGTCACGGGTCACATGGGCCAGGACGACTGGGCGGCTGGCACGGTCCCCCGCAATTCGGGCCTCACGGTGGTTCTCAGGGCGGCTCTGAGCAAAGCGGTTCTCAACACGGTAGCTCTCAGGGCGGATCTCAGGGCGGATCTCAGGGCGGTAGCTATCAAGTCGGGCCTCAAGGTGGCTCTCAACACGGTGGCTCTGAGCAAGGTGGCTCTCAGGGTGGCAGCTACTATCAAGTTGGGCCTCAGGGTGGATCTCAAGGCGGTTCTCAGCAAGGCGGCTCCCAACATGGTGGCTCCCAAGGTGGTTCGCAGCAAGGCGGCTCTCAACATGGTGGCTCCCAGGGTGGCTCCCAAGGTGGCTCCCAAGGTGGTTCTCAACACGGAGGCTCGCAAGGAGGTGGCTATCAGGGTGGCTCTCAGCAGGGTGGCTCTCAGCAGGGCGGCTCTCAAGGCGGTGGTTATCAAGTCGGCCCTCAGGAAACGCCAAGCTGGAACGGGTGGCTCCCTGGTTTTCTCCAGCCCGGCCAAGGTGGCAATGGAGGTGTCCACACTGTTACAGTCACAGTATCGCCTACCTTGAATCCAACTTCGACCACAAAAACGTCGTCCCCAGCCCTCACCTACAGCTCGAGCACGACTTCTTCTACACCGATGACATCGTCGACCACCAGCTCTTCGCTATCATCAGCAGTTGGACCAATTGGAGACAGCACTACCACCTCTTCGTCGTCCACTTCAATGTCAACATCAACGACGTCAGACTCTTCTAGCACCAGCACTACAGATTCGACGACATCATCGATGACCACGAGCTCTACCACAACCTCTGCGACGACCTCTGCGACGGTCACTCCAGATACACCTCCTGACCGGGTAATGGGTGACGGAAGCTTCTTGGTGTCTCTTAATGGGGGTCTCGGGTCGAAGATGAGGCGCCAAACACTTACAAGCTACCTCGGCTTCGCGGGCACTGTTGCTATTGCTGTCACTGACATGGACGACGCCTGGGCTTTGGTGTACGATGAGCAAAACCAGATCCTCGGGTTCAGTGGGCAGTCTGGCTTCATGGGCTTTGACAGCGACACAATGACGGAACCACTTCGCAAGTCCAGCACTGATGGCACCTATGCTCCAGGAGTCTATTCCGGATGGGAAATCAACGCCATCTCCGGTGACATTGACTTCGGAACTGCCCAATTCTGCGTCTTCACCAACGCCACGGTCTTCGCTTATTGGGATTTTATTCTCCCTAATGACTGTTTCCCTGTTAGGCTCACCGACACGAGCATCAACCCTGGCACAACTTCAACCACCAGCAGTATGTCCAGCACCACATCCTCCAGCTCCACTTCCTCGACCATGACCACCACCACCACCGCCTCTTCAGTGGTGGATGACACTTCCACCTCATCATCCTCATCCTCAACCTCCATGTCCACTTCGTCTAGTTCCACGACCTCTTCGTCCTCTACCTCGACGACCAGTGAGTCAAGCACGTCTTCTATGAGTGAGTCGAGCACAACCAGCTCCACCTCTACTTCGTCTAGCTCCGCCTCATCTGCGGTGGATCCCTTCTCCACTTCATCAAGCAGCTCGAGCACGTCGACTCTGTCCACGACTACAAGCAGCTCAACATCCACAATGAGCACGACCACGAGCTTTGATGATATTCCGACTTTCACCACGTCTTCTACCAGCACGAGCTCTATGTCGAGTAGCTCCGCGGTCGGTCCAGTTGAGCCCCCAACCACGACTTCCAGTACCACGAGCTCGACATCCACAATGAGCACGACTACCACCTCTGATGATTTCCCGCCTTTCACTACCTCTTCCAGCAGTACAAGCTCTATGACGAGTAGCTCAGTTATTGGCCCCGTCGAACCTCCAACCACGAGTTCCAGCAGCACAAGCTCAACTTCCAGCAGCACGAGCTCGACATCCACAATGAGCACAACCACGAGCTTTGATGATATCCCGCCTTTCAGCACATCTTCTAGCAGCACAAGCTCCATGACAAGTAGCTCATTGATTGGCCCTATTGAACCCACAACCTCGACCACATCGGCTGACAGTACATCTACGACTACTTCTGAGATGACGACCACGACTTCATCAATGACTACTACTTCTGAGATGACGACCACAACTTCTGACATGACTACTACTTCTGAGACGCCGACCACCACTTCGACAATGACTACTACTTCGTCGAGCTTGATTGATCCAGTGGAACCTACCAGCACATCATCATCCTCTACAATGTCTACTACCGAATCGTCAAGCTCGACTAGCTCGACCAGCTCCACAACCTCCATGACCTCGGAGACGACCTCAACAACCTCGGAGATGACCTCGACAACCTCAATGACCTCCACGACCTCGAACGGGGACGCAACGAGCACTACCAGCAGCACCGGCGCATCAAGCAGCACCCCGATCTAGACGACCGTCACACCCGACCATTTTCCTTTTGTCCTTTTCATTGACTTCTAACGTCGGCAGCAAGGTGTTTCCTAGGGGATGGAGCGAGGAAGGAGGAATGGGTGGTCGACTCTGATTTCGCATTTTCACTTCTTCCATAATTCTATAATGAGGCTACCCAGGTTTAACGCAACATAGATACACGATAAGCAATGTTGATCAAAGATGACACGAACTGTTTACTTTCCCGTGCCTATTGAGATGATAAACTTAAGGGCGAACATGATTAAGCTCGAATTTAAGCTCACAGATAAAGTTCCGTGTAGACTTGCTAGCTTGAGACATCGACGTCATCATTCACGTGGAAGCGCGTGAACACGCGTGGCACGCGCTACGCGTGCCGTATATCTCTTCTTGTGGCTTGGTGGACTTTTTTTGACAGTGCCACTATACACAGAGTGACAAACGATGTTTTCTAAGCCTTTCAAGCCTCTCACTATCCGCAAACCCGCTGACAGCGAAGCTCTCGACCAGGGGATACCACCAGCCAAGCGAAGAAAGCTCACTTCCGACGTTCGTACTGAAACGGCGAAGACATCATCCGATGAGGGCGCAAGACCACCCCTCAAGTTGATCTCCAACCCTCCAAGTCCTGCTCTGGAGCTGGATGGCAATGAATCAGAAGGGCCCGAGAGCTATTTCTCGATTCTCTGGTACGTGACCTATAGACCTCGCAGACACCGTTCACTCATGACTACTCCAGGCGTATCCCCACGAACAAAAAGAACAAGACTTGGACGGATGATGGGGTCCTCGCCGTAAAAGATGGCCAGGCAACACTCTATGCAAAGTCGGGAAGGATCATTGGCCGCACTGCCATCGCTTTACCCCTACAGCCCGGCTTGAACCTGACCATTAGCGGAAAGGAAGTCGAAGTCGATTCGCAAATCAGCAAGAATGCCTACCTCCAAGCGATCGGCTCCAAGCCCAAGCCTACGGACGTCGAACACAAGGCCGCACCCCCGTCTCTGCCAACGAAACCCTCTGAGGTTCCGCAGGCAAAGTTAAGCATACAGAGTCAAATGAAAGCTCAAATACAGAAAGAGAAGGCTCGGGTCCAGAACCAACGTCCTCCACCACTCAGTCGTGCCAGCGGGTTCAAACAACCACTGAAGGAGTCGAGGATAATCCCACAAGGCTCAGGTGAATCGCCGAGACCACGGCACGATCCCAATGCGGATGGAGCAATTGTCTTCAGGAGACCCAAAAGTCTACCTGGAGGGAGACAAGTCGTGGACGTGGTGTTAGACCCCCTAATTGGCAAGAAGTTGCGACCACATCAACAAGAAGGAGTGAAGTTCCTCTACGAATGCGTCATGGGGCTGCGTAATCCTGATGGTCAAGGATGCATCCTGGCAGACGACATGGGACTCGGCAAGACTCTGACCACAATCGCTCTCTTGTGGACATTGCTGCGGCAAAATCCAGTCTTCCGAGAACCACCGGTAATAAGAAAGGCTCTCATTGTCTGTCCGGTAACCCTCATACGGAATTGGAAACGAGAATTCCAGAAATGGCTCGGGTCTGACAGGCTTGGAGTACTTGAGTTTGAAGATCAACAGACTCGTCTGAACAACTTCGATGGGAAAGTCTACCAGGTGATGATCATTGGTTATGAAAGATTGAGGATAGTAGCCGATGATCTTGCCAAAGGGCCACCCATTGACATTGTTGTCTGTGACGAGGGCCATCGTCTCAAGACCATGAAGAACAAAGCCGCCCAAGCTATTGAGTCGTTGAATACGAAGCGGAGAATCATTCTGTCGGGGACTCCAATACAGAACGACCTGGGCGAGTTCTTTGCCATGGTCAACTTTGTGAACGACGGGTGTCTGGGATCTCAAAAGGGTTTCATCCGGGACTTTGAGAAACCCATTATGAGGAGTCGTCAACCGGATGCGTTGCCGGCGGACATTGAGCATGGTCAAGATGCAAGTGAAGAATTGACTCGTACGACGTCGGCGTTTATACTACGCAGGACGGCGGACATTCTAGCAGACTTCTTACCTCCGAAGACGGAATATGTGCTGTTCTGCAAACCGACACCAGCCCAGGCAAAGATATATCGGAGCGTTATCCGTTCACCTATGTTCAAAAGTGCATTGCGCAGCCAGGAGACGGCATTTCAGCTGATCACCATTTTGAAGAAACTCTGCAACAGCCCGGCATTGATGGATCCCAACTATGGCAATGATGAATCAACTCCCTCGTCGTCGCTTGTCACGTTGAACGAAATGCTTCCCGATGGGCTATCCAGACTGTATCAGAACTCAGTGTCTTGCAAGATCCGTCTCCTCGATCAACTCCTGCAGCAAATTCGCACCAATACCGATGAAAAGGTCGTGGTCATTTCCAACTACACCTCGACACTCAACTTGATCCAGCAGCTGGCAGCAAACTCCAACTTGTCTTTTCTCCGTCTTGATGGTTCAGTCGCTGCTAAGAAGAGACAGGCTCTCGTGGACAAGTTTAACCGCTCAACAGCACCACAGTGCTTCATGTTTCTTCTGAGCGCTAAGGCAGGCGGAGTCGGGCTCAATCTGATCGGGGCAAGCCGTCTAGTTCTCTTTGATGTGGACTGGAACCCTGCGACGGACGATCAGGCAGTGGCCCGCATCTACCGACAGGGGCAGAAGAGACACTGTAAGATTTACAGGTTTCTGATCAAGGGTGGCTTGGAAGAGCGCATCTGGCAGCGGCAGGTGGTCAAGCGAGCATTGGCGGACAGCATCATGCAAGGCGGGTCACATCTGGGATCGTCCGCTTTCAATGAGCCGAAGACTAAGGCTCAGGGTGGCACGTCAAGTTTTAGTCAAGAAGAGTTGAAAGACCTTTTTCGCTTGGACGAGGGCAGCGGTTTACGAACCCATGACCTGATCGACTGTGGTTGTGAGGGTGCGGGCCAGGAGGGAACAGGCCAGGATGAAAATGATGGCGTGCAACAGGATCCGTCATTAGGTGGGAACGACAAAGACGGATACGGCGATGAGAAGCCTGAAGGCCCCGCTGATATATCAAAAGCCCTGTCGTCAGCAAACACGTCAAGCGCAGAGATGCCATCCATGGTGACTGAACTTGAGGCAGAGAAACATCAACTGATGCAATACAGGCATGTGGACACTTCAATCCTGGCCCAGGAAGACGGAGATCAGAAGCTGAGGGCACAAGTGTTGGCTGCAATTGATGATGTCTGTCTCGAGCAGGTGGCCACCCTTGACCAGGACATGATAGGAGGTGGTGGAATCTCATATATATTCAAGAGGGCCAAAGGCAGTCGGTGTCTCAAGGAACAGGACAGCCCACAGGTGACTTGACTACAGGAGTCGGAGGACCTTCAATGCTCCAGACCAAGCCGCTATGAAATTGCAAAGATCAGGCCCCTTCTGGGAGAATGAGGAATATTCAATTGACACAAGGAATTACAAGGAGCTCTTTTACATCGGACTTTTGCACGACGAAGCGCTCGCTAACAATTCTCTGGTTATTTAGACGCCATGGCTTGATTGATACAAGATACACGAAGCTTTCGGGGACTACGATGAAATTGAGTCCATCAAGTACAATGCTGGTGGTGGCAGTGTGCATCCCATATTACACTCCTTTTCGTGCCACCTCACCAATGTCAAGATTGAGAGAATACAGACGGCAGTCATGGTAAGAGGCTCCTACTCGGACGACATGTTTTGGAACAGGACGTCAAAACCACGAATACGTGACTAAGACAAAATTGCGTTGGAATCCGTCGACGGATTAGTGCAGGACTGGGTTTACGTCTTCTCTGCGACACACTCGGATCGAACAGCTGGAATCTGCCGATGCGAGATTTGACGATGCATCTGGTGTCTTTGGCCCCCTGACCAGCTCCAATTCAGTCTAGACTGTATGCGTCAAGTCAATCATTGCTTCCAAAACAGGCACTGGTGCAAGCCACGTTCAGGTCTCCCTACCCGTTTGGGTAAGTAAAGAGGGCGAGCCAACTGGTGTTTCTGGGGGACATACTCCATGGCGTACCCTCGTCTGGTTCTCTGGCCATATAGTCAGTGTGACCATCACTATGGCTGATCACACTGTAACGAGTACGAGCCAGGCAAAGAGTAAAGGAGGTTCCTGACCCTACTTTGATCCCCTGTTTGTGTCGTGTCGACTGCTATATCTGACCTCCGCAGAACCTCACGCATCTGTATGAGAGGTGGACGACTTTATTACATTCCCCGCTAACAACAGCTTCTCGACATTCCTCTTCGAGCCTCCAGCATGCGGTGCCAGCTTCTCGGTTTTGCTGCCCTTGGACTCTCCACCCCAGCATTGGCCGGTTGGTTTGGGTCGGATTGGGTCTGCGAGGTGGGCATATATGCGCAATATGCTGATTTGGCAGGGTATGGCCCAGCTGAACAGTTCTGTGCCGGCCGTTTTCCCGAGCCAGCGGTGACCGTGACCGTAACGGCGTCGTCTGGCCATGGTCACGGCTGGTTTCCCAAGCGTTCGTGGGGACGACCGAACCCGATTAACTCGCTGCTGGAGCAGCTCGAGCGGTTGCCATCACATGAGCAGGAGACTGCGTGTTCATGCATTGAGGTGCCGAAAACCATTACGGTAGGTAGAGACTATGGATTGGTGCTTGTCTTTGGGATGTATTCTGACCATTGCTTTTAGGTTACGGTTCAGCCCACGTGGAAGACCAAGACTCCAACGGCTACACCGACGACTGTCTCTACTACCACCGCCAGTACCATATTGACAACTACAACGGCTTCTCCTACCACCACGGCGACGCTGGCTACAAGCACTATATCTACCACAACTACAACTAGTACTACCACCACTACTACATCAACAACAACAACTACTACTACTACCACACCTTCAACCACTACTACAACGACTACTACCTCGCCAACCACAACCACCACCACCACCACCACTACCACCACCACCACCACAACGACGACTACCACAGGATTCACAGCCTGCCCGACCGCCTCAGCCATCGTCCCCGGCCCCGGCTGCGGCGGCTGCCAATGGACCGTCTACTGCGGCCAACAGCTGACGGCGCTCGACTCGAACCCCAACTGGGACATCCTCAC